CACGGCTGGCTCATATTTAAATGGTTGTCCATTAGGACTCCAAGTTCCCTCTCACAGTTACTACTATTGAGTAAACCTAGAAACCTTAACAACTCAGAATCAGAAAGAGGATAATAGAATTATAGAATTGGAAGGGACCTAAGAGATCATCAAATCAATCCCCCTGCATAATACACCATACCATCGTATGGTAGTATACCATCGCCAAAATATGCTATTCCAATGTATTTTGGGTCAATTGTTAATCAAAGCTCTTTTGTACAAATCCCAAAACCTGGTCACTTTGTAGTAATGGTTGTGCACTAACTTGCTGCAGAGAAGGAAGAAAGTGATACAGAGGCTGGAAAGAGAAGGCTTCCACTACAGCAATATTTTTCAACCTTAGCAACATTAAAATATGTGGATTTCAACTCTCAGAATTCCCCATCCAGCATGACTGCCAGGGGAATTCTTGGAGCTGAAGCCCACACTTCTTAAAGTTGCCAAGGTTGAGAAACACTGCACTATAGAAACAATCACTCACTTTGGTAGCTACTGAAAATGCTTTCAAATATTGGGAGCCCATAAGCCCAGTGGTGTGTTCCTACTGGTTCGGACCGGTTCAAACTGGTAGTGGTTTGGCGGCCTAGGTCGCTGGAACCGGCAACAACCCAGGCTTGCGATACACCCCCCCCCCCCCCGGGTGCCACTGTAGGTGTTGCCATCTTATTTTTAAATTCTGTGCATGGACAGAACAATTTTAATAGTATTACTTATGCATGCAGAGCGCTCAGTGCACATCAAGCCTGTGTGCGTTTGCAGCACTGCCGGATACCACCCCTACCTAAGCTTCCACCTTGCTGCGTTCAAGCCGGGGGGGGGGAGAGTGGGGAGCAAATATAATGATTAACAGTGCATGAGGGCTGGTGTGATGCCAGGCTGGAAGGAAGAAACAGCTGGTGACTGTATTCCACCCTGCATCTTGCCAGATCCAGCAGCAATGCAAGGAGCAATACCACGGAAGCCACTGCAATGTATTAATGCTCACTAGTAGAGCAGGGGCAGAGCTGGGGATCCGTGTGTGTGTGTGTCTGTGTGTCTGTGTGTGCGCGCACGCTTGGCTGAAACTTGAAGAATTGTTTCTAATAGTTGCTGTTTCTCAACCTCAACAGTTTTAAGTTAGGAAAATTTCAGCTCCCAGACTTCCCCAGTCAACATTAAAAGCTCTAATCCCAGAACAGACTAATAACAATCATCTCCTGCAGTGGAGTATCCAAAATGAATCCTGGGAGCTTGGCTGGGGAATTCTGGGAGATGAAGTCCCTCCATCTTAAAGCTGCCATGGTGCAGAGTGTAGTACTGGACTCCCACAATTTCGTTATTTAAATTGTTCTTCTTTTTAGAACCCTATGGACTAGAACCTTCTTTCTCTTCAGGGGAATCCATAATTCCATACTTTCAGCTAAAGAGGCTTCTAGGATCCGTCCTCAGCGTCTTCAGGCAAGCCAGGAGGGATTTGCTGCCTCTTAGAGTGAGTGAGCCGTTCTATGCCCAGATGTACAGCTCACCCCTTCCATCTGACATCCTGGCAGACCGTCCCCATTGTCCAAGGGAGTGCCTTTTCCCCAGAATGTCTCCCGTCTGATTTGATCTAGCCAATGGGGGCTGCTGCAGATCCCGTCAGTCAAAGAGGGTTGGCTGGTGGGGACTGGAAGATGGGCCTTTTCGGCAGTGGCACCTGCTCTGGGGAGCTTCCTCCCCTCAGAGGTTAGTAGGGCCCCAACCCTCTTGGCCTGTCGCAAAGCTCTAAAAACCTGGCTATGTTCCCAAGCTTTGAGCATGGAAGGTGCTAAGGGCCCAGCTTCCTGGCTCTACTGTTAACTAGCTAAGCATCTTGGTAAAATGCTTTTTATTGATTTAATTGTTTTTATACTTATAGGTCACCCAGAGTCCTTGACTGAGATAGCTACCCAAATAGCTGTAGAGATGAATGAATGAATGGGTATATCTCTCTGTCCCAAGGTCTGAAAATAGCTTCCTGTTAAAAACATTGCAGCCGCTGTGGGTATGTAAAAACAGGCCCTCTCTGTGCTCTTTTGCAGCGTAAACACTGCCCGGTTTCAGAATGGAGATTTCTTCCCACCAGTCCCACCTCCTGCAGCAGTTAAATGAGCAGCGCCAGCAGGACCTGTTCTGCGACTGCAGCATCCTGGTGGAGGGGAAGGTCTTCAAAGCCCACCGCAACGTGCTCTTCGCCAGCAGCGGCTACTTCAAAATGCTCCTCTCCCAGTGCTCCAAGGAGGCCAGCCAGCCCACCACCGCCACATTCCAGGCCTTTTCCCCGGAGACCTTTTCGGTGATTCTGGACTTTGTGTATTCAGGCAAACTCTCCCTCACCGGCCAGAATGTGATCGAGGTCATGTCGGCCGCCAGCTTCCTGCAGATGACCGACGTCATCAGCGTCTGCAAGACTTTCATCAAGTCATCCCTGGACATCAGCGAGAAGGAGAAGGACCGCTACTTCAGCCTCTCAGACAAGGAGGTCAGCTCCAATGGGGTGGAGCGCTTGTGTTTGTACAGTGCTGGCTGGAGAGCGGAGTCCAGCCCCCCCCATTCCCACCTGAGCCCCGACCGAGGGACCTGCGTGATCAACAGCAACTCCTGGACCAACTTCAGCTACTACCCGTCCGCCCCAAGAGCCGCCCAGCCTCTCTCCAAACACGACCAAAGGCAGGAATCCCTGAAGAAAAGCAGGCATTTGCAGCCTGCCGACGGGCCCCCCTACAAAGCAAACAAGCTGGAGGACCGGGTTGCTGAGCAGGCGAGCCATGCTCCTCCGTCTGAAGAGGAGCTCCAGGTGGACTCGGAAGGGGATTCCTGTCCCACCAGCTACCAGTATGGGCAGGGCTCGGATGCAGTCGCAAGAGGGCTGGCCGTGCCTCAACACGAGCACGAATTGCCCCATTCTGCCAGCAAGTCCAAGTCTTCCAAAGCCGAAGAGCAATACCCCAGCATGCCCTCCGTCTTGGGGGTCATGGGGAATTGGGCTGAGGGTAAGAGCCTTGGCGCTGCACTCCCTTCCCTACCCGGGCAGAAGCCCCAGGCTTTGGCAGAAGCTCAGTCAGGGGTGGGAAATGAAGGACAGACAGAGGTGGGTCCCTCTGAATTGCTCGTTCTTGTGAAGGTTCTAGGGGAGGCGTCAGGAATGTCTGCTGAGTGCTGTGCAGGACTCGGTGGATTTTGAAAACTGAGCTCTTTAGCAGAGGTTTCAATCTGGAGTTGTCTCTTCGCTCTCTTTGCTTAAGGGGAAGGTGGTGGTGGGTGGCTGAGGTAGGGCTTTTGGGGGCATGTTGGCACAGAGTGAAGCCCATCCCACTGGAGATGGCCCCAGCAGATTGTGAGCTGGCGTAGCTACGTATTAGCCCTCCTGGGTAAACCAGACAGGAAATGGGACTAAGGAGCTAATTCTACTTTATTCTAAAAGTACCATATATTTTGGACTATAAGAGGTACCGATGTATAAGACGCATCAAGATTTCGAAGAGGTAAGTAAGAAAAAAAAGTTTTTGTCCTCCCCGGCCCCCAGGAGCACTCTGCAGGCTTCAGCAGCGCTGGGGGGAGACAAAAATGCCCCCCTTTTTGAAAAACAAGCAGAAAATGTGCCATTTTTCACAAAAATGGAATGTGGGGACAGGGATTTGGGAGGCCAAAAATGGTTGTATTCGGTGTATAAGACGCACCAACATTTCCATGCTCTTTTAGCGGGGGGGGGGAATGTGCATCTTATACTCCAAAATACAGTATATTAAGAGAGTGTTGCAGGTCTGAAGGTAGAAACTTCCTACTTTTAGCCGCTTTTAGCTGCTTAATCCATTAGGGTGGGTCTTTCCTAAATTTCCTTCTTTGATGGTTAAGCCGCTGGAGGCTCCCCCTGCTCTTCTCCTCTCTGATTCTTCCCTCAGCAGCATCTCTTCCCTTTGTCCCCGGAGGTCATTCCCAAATGCTGTTTTGTACTGCCTGCCCAAGACAGTTTGCTGCCAGAAGCAGATCCTCCCATGTTCTCCCCCCCCCCCCGCTTTTAGAAAGTGCTGTCTGACTGAAACACACAATTCTTTCTTTGATCCTTTCTCAAGTTGACCAGATGTTGCATCCAGCTGCACAGCAGGGCAACCCATTGAGTGTGTCCTAACTGCATTTGATCTAAAGAGCCTTTTCATGTAACTCACATGAGCCATTCACAATTCACAGTTTATTTTATTTAAGAGAAATAAACTCAGAGTTGTGTCTTCCCCAGCTGAGTACCTGCCATCTGTCTTGGGCAACCTAGCTCTTTAGCACACAGATGGTTTGAATTATAGTCCGGCACAAAGTTAGAAGGGATCGGTTGGAGAAGAGTGTCTGAATAGGTTTTTTATATAATCTTAAGTAGTCCCATAGTTTAGTTCGGTTGACTACTGTGGCATCATGCAAAATTCCCATCAGCTTCTCCCTGCAGTCCCCAACTTGAGCAAGTGATTCTGGGCAGCTAACAACTATTTATTTGTATTGTATCTTTATTATTATTATTTTATTATTTTTACAAATAACATGGTGATCAGTGCCCCTTGTTCCTCCTATTTCCCCCACAACAAGAACCCTGGGAAGTGAGTTGGGCTGAAGGAGACTCTCCATTTCTAAGGTGGAACAAAAACTGCTTTCTAGCATGGTGTCTTAACTACACCAAATGGCAAAAGAACCACAAAATCTGCAGAATAAGAGGAGAGGAGAGCTGGAAGGGGCCTTGGAGGTCTTTTAAGCCAGTGCCCTGCTCAAGCAGGAGACCCTATACCATTTCAGACCAGTGACTGTCCAGTCTCTTCTTCAAAACCTCCAGTGTTAGAGCACCCACAACTTCTGGAGGCAAGTCCTTCTACTGGTTAATTGTTCTCACCATTAGGAAATTTCTCCTTAGTTCTAGGTTGCTTTTCTCCTTAGTTAGTTTCCCTCCATTGATTCTTGTCCTGCCTTCAGGTGCTTTAGAAAATAAGTTCTTTTCTCTTTTTTGTGGCAGCCCCTCAAATACTGGAATATTGCTATCATATTCCACCCTAGTCCTTCTTTTCTTAGACTAGCCAAACCCAATTCCTGCAATCATTCTTCATATGTTTTAATCTCCAGGCTTTTAATTGTCTTAGTTGCTTTTCTTTGCACTTTTTCCAAAGTCTCAGCATCTTTGGAACTGCTGAGTTTAAAAATGAAAATAAGGACCATCTTTTGGGAGGCCTCATTAGTTCCTACCTAAAATGTTAGGAAATTTCATCTCTGATTTTTATTTTCTTGCTGGTGATTTCTGAGTTCTGGCCTTGTGGCCATGCCAAAGTTGAGCAAGGTGGCAATCTGTGCACCCATTGAGCTTGCGGGGGTGGGGGTGGGAAGAGGAGCTCCAAAGGGAAGGGTTGAACTGATTCCCTGATTGCAGGGAGAGCCTTGGGCAGAAATCATCAGCAGGCTGAGGCTCTTTGGGTTTTTCTCCAATCTCCAAGAAGAAAAACTGAGCTCCCTCTGTGTTTTGCATATCCCAAGCCTAAACAATTTCCCCTTCCTTCCTCCCTCCATATTCATTTCTTGTATTTATAACCACCCTTTAACCAAAAATAGGTTTCAGAGCAACGAGTAATCCAGATGTCCTATAATTACAGTACAATAACAACCTAAGCATATCACCTTTGGTCCTATCAACAAAGTGGGGAGAAGCAACAGACTTCATTTTGTGCCCAAATCTGTCTTCTTCACCCAGCAGTTGGAAAAAAGTTTCTGGTGCCAGAGGCTGAGTTTGGCCCCTGGAACCGGCCTCTGGCATCCAGGAACCAAAGAAGCCTGTGGAAAAACGTCTGAGCCTGAAGGAGGCTCCTCACTGGAAGAGGGGCTCCTGGGCAGACTCTGACTGGGCCGGGCTGTTCTAGGTGGCCCTGACTAACTGAATTATAGCCAAAGGTTTGTACCAATCATTAGGCAGGTCATGACTCCACATGATTTTACGACCTTTTTTGTAACGCTGCAGTTGTTAAGCAAACCAGTGGTTCATAATGGGCTGGTTTTGCCCGAAATGGAAAATAAGCACCTATTTCTAGCAAAACATGTTGTAAGTTGTGACTCTGGGATGCTGCAAATGGCTGTAAATGTGGGCTGGTTGCCAAATGCACAAAATGCAGTCACAGGCTGGGGGTAGGGCAGCATCACAATTTTGAATTTGAGCTGTAAGCAGCCCTGGAAAAGCCTGCCATAACTTTGAACAGTTGCTAAGGAACTAGTCATAAATTGAGGACCACCTGCAGTTTCCAACAGAATCTGTTGCAAGTTGTGCTCACTTTAATGAAATTCAGCCAAACAAGCACACAAAGATCAACCACTTTGCACACTTTACAGTAGATCTTGGCAACTTTAACGCATGTGGATTTCAGCTCCCAGAGTTGCTGCTGGGGAATTCTGGGAGTTGAAGTACACATGTGTTAAAGTTGCCAAGGCTGCAAAATACATGTGATTGTATGTTATGAAAACGGAAAATAAAAATCCATATGCCTTCCAAAGCCATTGGATGACCGGTATTTCCACTCAAGCCAATTGGTGTATGTCTTGAGGATTTTGCAGCTGAAGGGATTGCTTTGCATTCCAGATGACCTACCACGGATGAGGTTCAAATGCCCCTTCTGCACCCACGTGGTGAAACGAAAAGCAGATCTGAAGCGACACCTTCGCTGCCACACGGGAGAGCGGCCGTACCCATGTGAAGCCTGCGGGAAAAGATTCAGTCGGCTGGACCACTTGAGCAGCCACTTTCGGACGGTAACCTTACTTTTTTTTAATGTTTTGCTTTAAAATGGTACCAACACACAGACACACGAGATAGGAATTCTGGGACTTATAGTGAAACACACCTGGAAATGCCAGATGGGCAAAGCATTTGTCTTCCAGGCAAAGTCTGCATTGTACAGAAACGGCAGCTACAATGCAGCTTCTTTTAAAAATCCCATTTTGTATGTTTAGCTGAAATGTTATTTCTAAAGCCCAAGAAAAGTAACTTGGGCTTAAATAGCAAATAGGAATACAATTGGAGCTTGATGCAACTATGGTGGAATGCTCTGAAGTTGCTCTAATTTCAAGGCAGTGTTAATCGCATATTGATATTCCAATTGGAATTAGTGGGATGTCAAAGCAGCATTTTAGTTTTGGAATGGTTATTTTTTTTTAGTTCAGCTCTATCTTGTGGGGTGAACTTAACTCACCCCCTCAACTCAGTTGGTTAAAAAATAAAATACAATTAACATGTCAGAAATAACATTATATTGCATTATGAAATATTTTTTTCTATCAATTCTGTTGGCCTATCCATTCCATCAGCAGCAGCCCCTTCCAGAATCCAGGAGTAAATAGCCAGTTAAAGTTGCCTGGGACCCCTGGTATGTCCATCCAGGAGAAGATGGCCAATGACCACTGCGAGCTCTGACCTGTCAAGTTCTGGCTTTTGGTCATTTCTGGCCTCCCCAGCCCCCAGGAGCTCTCTGCAAGGGGCGGGGCTTTGGGAGGCAAAAAAATGCTGTATTCGGTATATAACATGCGCCCAGATTTTCAGCCTCTTTTTTGAGGAAAAAAGGTGCGTCTTATACTCTGAAAAATACGGTAGTCATAAGCAAGTTTTTTCAGTGCTGTTTTAACTTTGAATGGTCACTAAATCAACTGTTATTAATTGAGGACTACCTGTACTACCATGTTTCCCTGAAATTACGATATATCCTGATAATAAGACCATGCCATATTTTTCCTGTGGACAAAAATATACACCCTCCCCCAATAATAAGCCCCCCGGACACACACACCCCTCCAGCGAGGCAGAGCGCCACTCACCAACCTAGCGATATTCCGAAGGCACAAAGGGGGGGGGCAAAGGCGCTCGCATTGCTTGACGCCCTTGGGATACTGGTAGATTGGTGGGTGGCGCTGTGCCCAGCTGGAGCGGGGGTTTGCTGAGAGCGATTGCTCTCACGAGCAGCTCCCCAGCAACGCCCCTTTCCAGCCGGGCAGAGCACCACTCACCAACCCAGTAATACCCCAAAGGCGCTAAGCCGCATGGCGCTCTACCCAGCTAGAAAGAGAGGTTGCGCAAGCACTTTTTCTGCCTCCAGCTCACGTGTCTCCCTGCCTCACCATGCCCAACTCTCCCTGCAGGGCCGCCCCGCTGCCGCCGCCCTGCTGCTGCTGCCACCGCCCTACTCCGAGCATAACCAGCTGGTACAGAGAGTCTTCCCGCAGCCAGCCCACAACCATAGAATGTAGTCCCATAGTGGCCGCTCCCGGAAGACTCGATAGCGGATCTCTGGAGTTTGGAAGCCGGTTATGCTTGGAGCATGGGGGCAGCAGCAGTGTGGGGGTGGCGGCAGCGGGGAGGCGGCGCCCTGGCCCAGCCCTGCAGGGAGTGTTAGGCATGGTGAGGCAGAGAGGCACGCGAGCTGGAGGCAGAACAAGTGCTTGTGCAACCTCTCTTTCCAGCCGGGTAGAGCACCACGTGGCTTAGTGCCTTTGGGNGAATAAACAGAGACGTGGAAGGGGCTCAAATGTGACGGGAAGCCATACTGAAACTACATTTGTTAGTATGCAAGCAATAAATACTGTGGAGATACTTTTAAACCAATTTGTCATCTCTGTTGTCTGTATTCCTGCGTTGAAAGTCAAGGAAGGAATCCCCCTTTTTCTACACAGTACAATCTGCACTATCTCTTTTGTTTTATATTTATTACAGTTCTGTCGGAGTCTTGACCTTTTCTTCACCTTTTCTGCTTGATTTTAGATCGCTGGGTGGATTCTTATAGAGTTGATCTGGTCTCAACGGGTTGTATTACTTAAAAAAAAATTTACCTCCTGGAATGGGTTTGTTCCCCCTGGCGGACTTAAAATAAGGGCTCAGTATTGCTGAACATAATGACTGGATCAGATAATCAAAAAGGAATACACAGAAAGAGACTGTAGAATTACAGGTCATAAGAGTTTATTTATAAGGTTCCCAACTGTAAGTATATAAGCAGTTTGTTACTCAAATACACTGGGAAGCTCAAGTGAAGGAAAAAATGCCTTGGGGACTGCTCCAGAGGTTGTCTTTCTGAGGCTGATGTCACTCCTTTTCCTTTTGGTCAGAAGATAACCAAAGAAAATGAGAAAATTTATTTAGCTAATTAATTTTATGAGAATTATAGTGGTTCCCAAGTAAAGCTTTTCCACACTCCCTTCTTTACATGATTTCTCCCCTATATGGATCCTCTAATAGTAATTCAGATAAGACATTCTACTAGAGGCTTTTCCACTTTGCCCATTTAGAAGTATTACTCACTACATGGATCTGTTCATGATGAATAAGATGTTCTTTGCCATTAAAATTATTTCCATACTCCATGCATTAGATTTACCATTTTTTATTGTTTCTTGAATAACTAACTTGTGGTTGTTAAACGTTTTTCCACACTACGTGAATATATATAGTCTCTGTTCTGGGTGAGTCCGTTTATGAGAATTCAGTTGTTCTTTCTGAGCAAAGCTCTTTCCACACTCCATGCATTCATATGGATTATCCCCACTCTGAATTCCTTCATGAGCAAATGTATTCTAAATGCCCGAGTTTTGATTCTGTTGTGGATGTTACTTGGAACCATGACAGTCTCCTGCTGGAGCAGGGTATTAGACTTCAAGACCTCCAAGGTCCCTTCTAGCCCTATTCTATTTTATTGAACTTGTTGAGCTTTCTCCACACTACATGCAATTATATGGTCTCTCTTCTGTGTGGATTCTGTTATGAGATTTAAGCTGTCCTTTCTGAGCAAAGCTTTTTCCACATTCTGTACATTGAAATGGTTTTTCCCGTGCGGATTTTTCATGTTTAATAAGACTACTTTTGTTAGTAAATGCTTTTCCACACTGTATGCATTTATATGGTTTTTCCCCTGTGTGGATTCTTTCATGAGAAGTAAGACTATTTTTGCGAGCAAATGCTTTTCCACACTGTATGCATTTATATGGTCTCTCCCCAGTGTGGATCCTCTTATGAC